AAGACGTTTAGAAAAGATGCTGTATCTGATAGCAGAGCACATGGCGGTGTCATAACTGTCATCAGAAATTCAATACCCACATTAGATATAGACTCAACACCAGCTTGCAAGCAGTTGCGGTGACGATATACTACCCTGTTAGACTCACCATATGCAACTTATACCTCCCAGACAGAAAACTGGTCTCAACAAGAACTTGAAGCGCTCGTTAGTCAGCTACCCACACCATTTATGTTAGTGGGTGACTTAACGCTCATAACTCAATGTGGGGTTCAGAAACTACTTGCTCAAGGGGAAGAGTAGTGGCAACTGTTATTGACAATTATGACCTAGTTCTCTTAAACACCGGAGCCAACACCTACATAAATTCGAGATCCATGAACTTTTCAGCCATAGATCTTTCCATCTGTTCACCTACCATCGCAAACCTATTCCAGTGGAAGTGCTTGCAGGATATACAATCATCCGACCATTTTCCGGTTCAAATAGAATTCCCAGGTAAACCCAGGGTGTCTACAAGACCAAAGCGTTGGATAGCAGAAAGGCTGACTGGGAAATTTACAGAAATACAGCCCATTATCATCTTCCTACACATTTAACTGACAACATTGATGCTTCTGTATCTAAAATATCGAAGAATTCTGAAGTCGGCACAACTGTCAGTCCCGCAGTCGTCAGGCTATTCTTGTACGAAGTCCGTGCCGTGGTGGAATGAAGAGGTAGCCCAGGCAATAAGGGATAAGAAAGCTGCCTTCAACAGATTTAAACGTGATCTCACTTACCAAAACCTGATAGAATTCAAGAAACTTCGTGCTAAAGCTAAACAAGTCATACTAAAGGCAAGACGTAAATCGCTACAAAGTTACGTTTCATCTCTTGACCGCAACACTCCGATTTCAGACATTTGGAAACAAATTGAAAGCTATATCAGGAAAGAAGCATCAATCCCCGACAGAAGCCCTATGTGTTGATGGAAACACTATTACTGATCCTCAACAAATAGCAGAAGCATTTGCCATGTATTATGAAAACGTAAGCTCTTCACACGCTTACCCTGTGGGGTTCCTTGAACAAAGGGAGACAGAATTCCTGGAACCCATTCCGGACACAGTGCAAGAAGAACAACCCTACAATCTACTAATTTCAATGCAAGAATTTGAACATGCGTTAAATAGTACCAACAATCTTCACCTGGCAGAGACAACATTCCTTACGAGTTTATCAAGAACCTCTCCTCTACACACAAAATACTCCTGCTGGAACTCTACAACAGAATCTGGCATTCCGGATATTATCCTGCGGCTTGGAAAGAGGCAGTAATCATTCCAATAGCTAAGCAGAGTAAGAACCAACTTTTACCGAGCGACCATAGGCCAATATCCCTCACTTGTTGCATGGGAAAACACCTAGAGAAAATAATATCTTTACGACTATCCTGGTATCTTGAATCTCAGGGCCTATTAACAAAATACCAAACAGGGTTTAGGAATCATAGATCTGCAATTGACATGTTGGTGAACCTTGAGCATGCCATACAGAATACATTTGCGAGCAGACTTCATATGGTTGGCGTATTCTTTGACTTAGAGAAAGCTTTCGATCGAACGTGCAGGTTTAGTGTACTTAAAGCGCTAAAGAAATGGGGAATACACGGTAAAATGATGGATTTTATCAAAGCTTTCTAGAAGAACGGAGATTCGCAGTAAGACATGGTAATTCTCTATCAAACAGTCACGTCCTGGAAAGCGGAATACCCCAAGGATCTACGTTGAGTGTTCTCCTTTTTAACATAGCAATAAATGAGATATTTAATGACCTAAATCCCAGCATTGGCCAAATCATGTATGTTGACGACATTGCCATTTATTACTCATCCAACTCGATCGATGACATCCAAGATAAACTGCAACAAGCAGTAAACGCAATTGTCGAAAAGCAAGTAGCATAGGCTACCGTTTTTCTGAGACAAAAACTCGATGTGTGCATTTTTGCAGACTTAGGAGAACGCACGACCATCCACAAATTGTAATGAATGGACGCCAGCTTCAGTTTTGTGATAAAATAAAGGTATTAAGACTCATATTCGAAAAAACTCTACTGGAAAGAACACATGCAGGATTTAGTCGCAAGATGTCAAAAAGCCATAAACCCACTTCGTTTTTACACTGAAATTCGGGGTATCAACAAGACGATCATATGCACTGACTCACTTAGCTCAACACAAGCACTACAACAACTTTATCCAAAAGACCCACTGATAAAGATAATACAGGCAAAAATTGGGCATTTGCGATCACAGGCTATTGAGCTTATGTTTATATGGGTCCCTAGTCATACCGGAATTAATGGTAACGAGTTAGCTGACAACGCTGCAAAAGCATCAACTACGCAACCCCCGGACGTAAATGTACTGCTACGCCCTGGCGACCTAAAAGCCACATTCAAACATCAAATCGTATCAAAATGGCAATCTCAATGGGACTCTACCACCGCTAAGCTCAAAGAATTGAAGCCAAAAATTGGAAAAACCATTTACACCAACCAAATTACTCGGAGAGAGCAAAGCGTTCACACAAGACTACGAATAGGGCATTCGCGTCTGACATCGGCTCACCTACTCACTGGTGAACCTCCACCAATCTGTTTTGCCTGTGATTTACCATTAAACATCGAGCATATTATAATTGACTGTCCATTGTATGAAGCTGACAGATGGTCACATCAAATTTCACGCAACCTAAACGAAGCCTTAAGTATGGAGCCAGAGCAAGTAAGAACGATCTTACAATGGCTACGAAACATTGGACTGTTCAACAAAATCTAACTAATGTAAGAAAGAGAGAAAAAAAAATAAATAAAAAAAATATATATATTTCAACAATGCATAATTAAATTAAAATTAAAAAAATAAAAAAAACTGCAACGGCAAATTATATCTTTTTTTTTGAGACCTAATTGATCAAAAATATTATAACATTGCTTACCCAACCTACGTGTCTTTTCCTATGTGCCCAAATACCTACCAACCCGCGGACTATCCTGTGTATTGTGTGTTTACAAAAGTCGCCCTGATCGTCCCCCGAGGCGTGAAGTGAGTGTCCCTGTACAGATATATCCTTACCCATGCCCTAAATTGGGAAGGAGGGTGCGGCCAATGACCGTTGCAGTCGACGCCGCTGTGGGAAAAAAAAAAATATAATAATTACAATAATTAATAATATAATCATAATAATTTAATAATAATAATAATAATCTCTTACCAGACATATTAATCTGAATATATTGGAAAGCGATAACGAACATACAAATCGTCCAACGTATACACGTCCAGCCAGAATCCGTAGCCTTGAATTCCAACAAGCGAACAACATATCAATAAGGGATGTGTTGCAGAGAGCCCCATACGACACTCCACCTTGGACTAGGTCAAAGCCACATATTGATATTCGCCTTTCTGTATTTCTTAAAAATGAGACAGCACCCCAGGTGTATCTCGCTCGTTTCAAACAAATTACAGATCACCTCCACGATCATCTCTTCATATACTCGGATGGATCTAAGAGCAGTACCGGAGTGGGAGCATCAATAGCAGTTAACAGTGTTTGCCACATGTGGAGTCTGGATCCGATTTCAAGTATTTTCACTGCAGAATGTTATGCCATCTGGCAGGCACTTCTATTCTTTGCATTGTCATCTAGCTTAGCGTGTTCGATAGTATCAGACTCTCTGAGTGTGATCAGCTCCACAGGAAATAACTTCACCAAGGATGAAAGAATAAGTCGAATCTTGAACTTAACCAGCTCACTAGAAAATGACCATAAAAAAGTCCGTTTCATATGGGTACCTAGTCATGTGAATATTATCGGCAATGAATTGGCTGATGCAGCGGCAAAGCAAGCAGCCACCATGCCACCGGATGAAGGCATTCCTACTCCGCTATCTGACTATGTAAAACACTTAAAAGACACACAAAACAAGCATGGCAGCACAAAAGGGACCTATATGACGGACACATGAGATCCGTCCAAACAAGTATCGAAAAATGGACTTATCCGAAGCAACTGAATCGTCGGCAGCAGACAGTCTTATGCCGACTACGAATTGGCCATTGTAAGTTGACCCATGCGTACCTGTTGGCCGGCGATCACAGACCACAATGTCTAGCATGTCAAACAGACCTCACTGTTCAACATATTCTGGTGGAATGTCGACTCTACAGTGATCTCCGCAGGGAACTACAGATGTCTTCCAATATACAAACCCTGCTCAAAACGGAATGGCCAAAAGTTATGGATTTCTTGCTGCGCTCGGATACATACACCAAGATATAGATACTCCTATTTCGTTACGCCTCCAGCCACTTCCACATCAACATTTTACGACGCATTCTCACCTACATCCCATACCTATCTGTACTTACCTTATTATCCTTGTACCATACTGGACAGCTCAGAAAAATAAAATGGTATGCACGTGGATCTCACATCATTAGACAACCGAAGAGGCAGCTTAGCTATTAAAGATTCTCAGTCACATGCGGTGTAAATATTGAACTTGTCTGTATACTATACTTACTGTTATTTATACCATATATGTTTGTCCTATGTCTTTCTTTCCATCTCAGATCTACCCCTGAGATGTTAGGTTTGGAAAAAAAAAATAAATAAAAATGACCTAATGAGGCAGGAGGGAAGCGGCTAATGACCTAGAAGTCGATGCCGCTGTGGGCTTAAAAAAAAAAATAATATAATAATAAATAATAATAATAATAACCATAATTATAATAATAAATGATTATTATAAACAATATTTATAATAATAATAATCATAATTATAATAATAATATAATAATAATAATAATTATAATTATTATTATAATTATAATTACAATAATTATATAATAATTATTATTTATTATAGTAATAATTACAATAATATAATAATAATAATAATAATTACAATATAATAATATATATAATAATAATAATATATATAGTAAT